TATTGAGGCCATACTCTTAAGTGAAATAAATAGGACACACATGTGTAAATACCAAATAGTTTCTCTAGTGTGAGAAACTGAAAATGTAAATAAGGACTAAAAAGTATAATAAATAATGTGAAATAGGAAGAAAAGGTGCAAATTGGAAGGGGATGTGTGAGGGGTAGGGGAAAGGAAAGAAGGGAATGGAACATGAGGAAAAAAATGGAAACAAAGTCTTTGTAGGTAGGGCTGGAGGGGTTAAAGAGAGGGCAGGGGAATGTGGAAAAAATAAGAACCAAGATGGATTATGTAAAGGTGCAAATTTCCAATGATGATGTCCTTATATTGTATACCTTAAATGCACCAATAAAATTAATTTTTTTTTTTGGTACTGGGGATCAAACTCGGGTCCTTGTGCTTGTCAGGCAGGTGGCGGAACCACTGAGCTAAATCCCCGGCCCTTAAAATTAATTTTTTAAAAAATCCATCCTCATCGACGAATGCACAGGCACCCCCATCAGAACCAATATCAACAGGCCTTCAACTGACAGTCTTCCAATTTCAGTAGAGAAATGGCTCCCCCTACTGATCTTTTGAAAAAATACCAGCTCTACAAGCCACTCTAACAAACTGTGTTCTGTTTTCCAATATTTGTGTAGTCAGGCATTAACACCACAATCTATGAGGAGGACCAAGGCTTGAGAGGGTAGCAGGCTGGCCAGGGTCTTGCCAGGGCAGCCTCTTTGCATCTCCTGTCAGGCCTACACTGAGGGTCAGTGTCCTACCGGCACTTCCACTCCATTCTTGCCACCCAGCAGCCACTCCCAACAGGCCAAGGCAGTCTCCATGCCATGCTCATTGAACATTTGGAGGAGACCCCAACACAGATGATGGAGAAGTTGTGGGTCACAATCTGGAATCAAAAACAGGTCATTCAGAGGCCTTTGACCCTGGCTGGGTCAAAGGTTCTGTGGGTTGATAAGACAGTCAGCTCCAGCTAGGGCCAACAATGGCCTTTTATTTACTTTCCACTCATAGATGCCACAGAGAACTCTATTTGGAGAGCACCACCTCTTTCTTTGCCCAGGACTCCAGTTTATTAAGAACCACTTTGGCAAACATTCACTTAGAAGTGATCCAGAATTCCACGGGGCTTATGTGCATTACCTTTGCTGCTAATGAGCATTGCAGTCAGCTTGAACGTGGCCTGTGTATAGTGCTGAGAATTATTGTGGTCCAAAGCTGTACTCAGATCCTGCACCATCATTTTGTTCAGGTCAGACATCTGGCCTGTAGCACCTGAGAACCAAATCATTCCATACTCCTGCAAGAAGCAAACTGATCAGCTGCCAGGACCTGGTTGAGGACCTGACCATGCTCACAATAGGACCAGCAATGCCAGTGTGTGTGTTTGTGTGTGTGTGTGTGTGTTTGTGTGTGTGCACATGAGCATGCATGCACTGTGCGGGGGGTTGAACCCAGGACTTCACGCTAAACACATTTTACCACTGTAGACCTAACAGATTTTTCTAAAAGAATTTCTCTTCCAGAAATGCCTGTTAGCACCCCCACTACTGCAGATGTTCCTTGAGGGTAGGGGACTTGTTCTATTTTTGTGGCCAGTGCTGTGCCCATGGTCTGACCCATACACAAACACATGGACTAGATAAGTAAAATTCCTCTAGACTCAATGATTCAAACAAGATCAGTTGCATTCTTTTTGTTTGAGATTCGAGGGACTAAACTCAGGGCCTTGTGCATGCTAGGCAAGCACTTTATTGCTGAGCTGCCTCATTGTCTTTAAAGTTAGACATAATTATTTTTCCCAGGAAGTGTTTTCTGATTCATAAACTATAAAGAAGATCTGACTCGTCCTCCACTCCCAACCCCAAGAAAATCTCTCTCTCAAATTCAGACTTTCTTCTGCCACCAGGGTATTGAAATCAATGTGGAATGGACTCTCAGCAATTCCCAGCATGTGGTCAACAGTCACTCAGCAGAGCATGGATTCTACTTGCAGAGACTCCAGTGAAGAGCAACCACTGGAATAAACAAGAGGCAGTGTTTCAGGGGAGGGGAGCCCCCCTCAGATCAGGCTACTGACAAACTTTCATAGTTCCCAATGGTGTCAATGAGTTTCTGTGTTTTGTGGATAAGGGAACTACCTGGCTTGCAACCACAAGGACCCAAGTTTGATTCCCCGTACCAAAAAAAAAAACAAACAAAAAACTACACCAATAAACTGCAGTGTGCTGGGTGAAAGCCTTCAAAGTGGAGCTGACAGGGCCGGGGATTTAGCTCAGTGGTTTCACTGCCTGCTGCACAAGCGCAAGGACCCGAGTTCGATCCCCGGTACAAAAAAAAAAGTGGAGCTGAGAGAGGTTGTTCCTAAAGCTGTTCTGCCTGACTGTGGCAAGTTACTTAATTTCAGGAGCCTTAGTTTCTTTAACTGTAGAATCAGAATCATAGTGTGCACATCTCAGCAAGTACCCAGGAGAATGCATGGCACTCAACAAGTGTTTGTCACCACTTTTAAAAAAAGCCAAAACCCAGAATTCCTCAGCATAGTCAGAAGATGCATATGTGAGGTACATGCTCCAAAATATGCCAATAGTGTTGGGGCTCCATGCTACTCAAGCCACCTAAATTGAGTGAATTCCACATTGCTCAGACTCATTACTTATGTCCCACAAAAAAAGAGCCAAATGGCATCAAACCACGAGAATGCTCTAAACCTTGGACACTGGTGACAAAATTACCTCACCTGCATAGGGGTTGTGCAAATCAGGGAAGCCATGAAGTTGGAGTAATCTTTTGTCACAAAAGCCAGGTGCTCGGTTAGCTGATTTGCCTACAGGAAAAAAAAACAAGGCAATTATTGTAGATCGTCAAAACATCACCTTTTTTTTTCATGACTACACAGAAGTCTAATTAAGAAGTCCAGATCAAACGGGTATGGTGGCACACACCTATATAATTCTAGCACTCTGGTAGGCAGAAGGATCATGAATTAGAGCCCATGCTAGGCAACTTAGAGACTTCGTGAGACCTTGTCTCAAAATAAAAACTAAAGAAAGGCTAAAGAGATGTAGCTCATCAATCTCCAGTACCAAAAAAAAAAAAAAAAAGGGAAGAGGAAGAAGGAGAAGATGACAAGTTCAGATCCAGGGGCTACTAAAATTGTTGTGCCAATAAGTAAATACGATGA